GAAGATGCACTGAGTCCTGGCCCAGTACTTAGTGATCTCAATGGAGCATCTACCTGGAGCAGATGACACAGCTCTGGAACTGTGTTTAGAAGGCCCATAGAGTAGAGAGTTCCAGACTTTGTCAGATCCAGGAGTCCCCTGGACATCTCGAAATTCAGAAATTTCAGTGCTGTGCTGAGACTCTGGGTGTTTGGTGCAGAAACTGCTGGTTTTTCAGATAATATAGCAAGAAGAATGTAAACAAGGAGCCCCAAACTCCATACATCAGCCTCACTCATGGCTGAGTCATTCCTGAGGCTATTTGTGGTTGACTATGCGAACATTCCCGAAATTGGGCAAAAGGATATCAGGGACATCAAGGCCATTCTGAATTGCTGTATTAGTTACTTTTTTTCATTGTTGTGACAAAATATCTGACAGAAACAACTTTAAAAATATTTATTCTGATTCACGAGTTAAGAGGGTGCATACAGTCTTTCTTAACATAAGGTGTGGTGGAGTTCACGGCATTGGGAGCATGTGGCTGGGACTCCTCCAACTTCAGTGGATCAGGAAAGAGAACATAGAGATCTTCTCAGCTGGCTTTTTCCTGTTTTTTGTTTTATTCAGTCTTGACCCTAGCCCAAGGGATGGCACCACCCACATTCAGAGTGGGTCTTCTCTTCTCATTTAATCATCTCTGAACACAATCTTATAGACATACCCAGAACTGCATCTCCTAGGAGATTCTAAATCCAGTCAAGTTGACAGTGAAGATTAGCTATCACAGCTACACAGTGAGCTCAAAGCCAGCCTGGGATACAGTACGAGACCCTGTCAAAAAACAAATAAACAAAACAAAAAAAATGAGGAAGTACTGGACTCCATACTCAACGATCTAAATGACGGGTGAAGAAGGAGGCCTGAGTATTCTGGGAAAAGGTTGGTGACCACTGATGTTAGTAGTAAGAATAATGAAGGAGAATCTTGCATGGGCATTATTATTATATTATTTTGTTGTTGCCCAAGAAAGAAAAGGGAGAGCATATATCATCACTCAAGCATGTTCAGAAATGCATATTGTTTTCTCTGTCATGGGTATAGCCTCAGATGAAAGTCATAAGAAGTAGTTATATAGGGAAAGTCTCTGGCTGTTATCCAAAGTCTTTCTGAACTGATTCCTTACTTTTAGGTACAAATAAGGAAGTCTAGATTCTGATCATTTAAACATAAAATGATTTTCTTTGTGATGCTGATTAATAGGAGATTATCTTGTTTTGGAAAAGTCCAATAAACAAAATTCTGATAGGACCGTCAACATCAGGTCCCACGTGTGCTAAACTGGACAGAGAACCACTGAGATCCTGGAACTGGTCACTGTGACAGTTCCCCTGCTGCTCTTGGAAGCTGCATGTGACGATGTCATCCTTCCCAAATGCAATCTGTGCAGTTCTGGCTTTTCCTTATGACCATGCTCTGAGTCCAGCATGTGGTCATTGAACTGATGGAATTGAGGACTCATGTGGTGCCCAGCTGCAGGGATGTTTGAGAAAGTGATGAGGAGCTTGGTCTCTGCCTCCTTTCTACACTGTGAGTGGGTATTTCCCTAATGTGGGAAGAGTTCAAGAGCTGAGACATGTGACCAAGGGATGGAAATAGAGTGGGGAAAACGGATTTCTGAAAGTTATCTGAGTAACTACATCTGGGGGGGGGACTGATAGGGATGCAGGATAATGGTCTCCTGGAGTACCCCCACAACCCTGTATTTAAATGTGTGCTTCCCTTCCCTTTCCTTCCCTTCCCTTCCCTTCTTCCCTCCCCTCCCTTCCCCTCCCCTCCCCTCCCCTCCCCTCCCCTTCCCTTACTTTTCCTCATCGTCACAGCGGCAGCCACAGCTCCAGCGATCACAACTCCGAGGAGAACCACACCAACAGTCGTTCCAATCTTGGGCCAAGAAGATGGCTCTGGGAAGAGAGGGTGGGGAGGGGTGGATACAGTTGAGGGACCCTAACCCCCAGCTCAACACTGATCCTACTCAGGGGTCTCCAGACCACCTGATTTTCCTGGTAACAGACTCTGTGTTCACACCCTTCCTTACCCCATCTCAGGATGAGGGGCTCAGGCAGCCCCTCATGATGCACAAGGCAGGTGTATCTCTCCTCGTCCCCAGAAGGCACCACCACCGCTGCCCACTTCTGGAAGGTTCCATCTCCTGCAGGCCTGGTCTCCACTAGCTCCATGTCCTGGATCTGGTCCTCTCCATCACGTTGCCAGGTTAGGGTGATCTCAGCTGGATAGAAGCCCAGGGCCCAGCACCTCAGGGTGACGTCCCCTTCATGTCTTAGATGATGGGTTACATGTGCCTTTGGGGGATCTGAGAGGAAGATTAGGAAGGTTCAGGCATTTTATATTCTTTCTGGGGACTTACACAGTATTCCTGTGACCGTCCTGGAAATGGACAGTTGACTTGAGACACTACAATGGAACAAGTCCCATTCAGTAGCCTGGACTCAGGATTCAGGATAAACTATTCCCTGTTAAATTGTGTAATCTAGCCCAGTAGAGACTCCAGGTTTTGCCACCATGGAAAGGGGATTTCAGATCCTGAGTGAGTGAGGCATTAAGAGACCCAGCATGACTCCATTAGGCCTCCACAAACACTGGGTGGGGACAGCGCACCCAGGTTGGGAGAAGTCATGGTTCACAATGGGCTGCAGTTTGAAGGAACTGCTGCTTGTTTCTGAGGTCTCTCTTCCATCTCAAGAAACATTCCGAAGAGAAGGGTGGGCACTTAGGAGAGTCACTCTTTGATGTTGGGTTAGTAAACCCAGGAGTACTCTTACCCCTCCCGAACAAGAGAGAGAGACAATCTTCCATCTGATCGCATTTTCCTACCTCCAGGGAACTGGGTCCCAGCGCAGAGGGAGGAATTTCCTCATTCTCCCTCTTACCTGTTCTGAGCAGTGTTTTCTTCCCTATCTCCAGATGTCTGAGGAGTGTCTCTACACATCTCCCCTCCAGAATGGCTCTGATGCGTCCTGCTACACCATCGGCTTTCCACTTGTTGGCAGCGATCTGAGCTGAGGTGTCACCAGCGGTCCAGGAGTGCAGATCCTCGTTCAGACTGAGGTAATCGTTGCCGTCGTAGGCGTGCGCATATTCCCCTCGGATGAGTCGCCCGTCCGGTCCAATTTCGCAGCCAATTAAACACTGGATGGTGTGAGAATCTGGTCCCTCCCCTGAAGTCAGACCTGCCCACAAAGCCCCGACCCACTCACTCCCGGTATTTGGACCCAAACTGATAACAAAACCGGGTCCCTGTCTCCTGGTGATCTGAACCCGGGACATAGAAGCCTGAGGCAACTTGGCTTGAGATCACTCACCGTTACTGCTGTGGTTGTAGACGCTCAGTGCCAATCGCAGGTTTTCTCGGGCCCTCTGTGCATAGTGCTCGGCATATTTTACCTCCTCTTCCCAAAACTTTTGTCCCATTCGTTTTACCCATGACCCCCGGGGCTCTGTCCTCGGACTCTCCGCGTCGCTGTCGAAGCTCATGAACTCGATGTTGTCCACGTAGCCGACGATGATGACTCGGGGCTCCCGGATCCCAGGACCGGACGTCGTGGTAACAAAATAGCGCAGCGAGTGAGAGCCTGGGGGTGACTTGCAATGAGACCCCGACCCTTTCCCCGGGGATCCGCGGGCAAGTCCACAGACCTGGAGGGGAGTGGGACACCCGACTAGGGGCACTGGAAGGCAGGGATGGGCGGGGTGGGGGGCGAGGAAAGGCAGTCTAGCTGGGTGTTGTGCCTTCCCCGGAGCTGCCCTTCTTGCCTCAGAGGTTGTTTCCCTGCGGACTCTGCACTTACCCGCTCTGGCCTGTGTCTCTGTCTGGGTAAGAGCCAGGATTGAAAGCAGCAGGAGAATGGGACACGGCTCTGCAGCCCCCATCCTTGGTGTCTGGAAAATCTGGGCGAATAGAAACCTTGTTCCTTTCTGTGGAGTTTATAGCGTCGTGGTTTGTGGGGAGATACCAAAGTGACCGTGAATGGTTTTCTCCAGAATTCGGGCATGCAATAGAGTGAGAACATTTGTCCAGATGGAAAGACTGACCAGCTGACACATGTGGTGAGCTTGAGAAATTAACTCAGAGGCAAGCAAGAATCCCCAAACACATGTCTGGACAAGGGATTTATAGAGACCCCCTTCTTCCTGTACCTAGTGCCCTTTCTCACATCTGCTCCCTGAATCCTGTTCAGAAGCTGTGTCATAGGAGATTCTGAATGGTTTGGGTTCACCATCTCTTGTTTGTGCTCAAACATTATGGAGGACCTCCAAGAGTTTTTATGTAGGTTGTCTCTAATGACATTTACCTTGTTAAAAACTGAAGCTCAATTGGTCATGTGGCTGTTGCCTGCCTGTATACCCAGCACTAAGGAGACTGGGCTGACGCCCAGTTTAACCTAAGCTGAGGCCAGTGTGGGTTACGTGAGACTGACATTTTTTAAAAGTTATTTTTATTATGTGTATACATGTGTGTTTGTGTCAGTGTATACTGGAAGCATGAAGATGTCCATGGAGGCCAGAATAGGGGGTCAGAGATTCCTGTAACTCCAGTTCCAGGAGGATCAGGAGGTTGTGAGCTGGGAGTCCTGGCTGCTGGGAACCAGACTGGGGTCAGCTATCAGAGTAGCAAGCATTCTTAACCACTGGGCCATTTCTCCAACCCCTTGAAACTGTTTTAAAGTTAGGGTTAGGGTTTTAAAGAGAGAGAGAGAGATTTCACAAGTGTATCTGCCTCTTATTCTGCAAGTGAGTGGCGGTAAAACAAATGTAACAACCCCTAATTAGTTTGAATTTACAGCCTTGATTCATACTAAGGTGTCAACAGATGAACTCACTATCAAGCACAATACAGTAAATATGACAAGTCAGTTACAAGTTTTCTTTACTTTATTTTCATGCACCCCATGAAAGTATCTAAGTAATGTGAGCTTTAAGAATTACTACTTTTAGTTGAGTTTAGTGACACATGCCTTTATTCAGGCTACTTTAAGAGGCCGGGGCAGGGGAATTGCTGAGACTTCAGGCTAGCATATAAAAGCTTGTATGGCCCTTTAAGTAGGAGAATTAGAATGCACAATGTCAGGAGATAGGAAGTCAATGGACATGGAGAGCATTAATGGCCTGTTGGGTCCAGAAAATAGGCTGGTTTGTACACAGTTTGAAATGACGCTCTTTGGAGCATTGGATGGGACTGAAGTAGATGATGATGGGATGTGGCCAGCAAAAGTCTGTCCAGGATGCTGACAGGCTTCCTTCTGGAAGAGTCCATTAACAAAACTGACTGAGAGACCCACAGGTAATTGTCTTCTCTTTTGGTGATTCAGAACATTAGGCCGAGTTGAGCAGAGCAGAGAAGTCATTACTACCAAATTCCATCACTCAGAATAATCACCATGCCAGAGATCCACGTCTCGAGTGGCAGTTCCGGGACTCTGTCACTTCCCTAGCTGAAATTCCCTAGAAGTTTCACACAGAGGTTGGCAGCTGAGGAAAGGAAATTGGATCGGTAATCAAGTGGCAATAAACTTTCAAAGAGAGAAAAGGTCATCAGTTAGAATAAGACCAAACAAAAAAGGACACATCTAAACACATTTCCCCAAATGTCACTAAACCTACATTACAGTCCTAATTTAGTCACGAGTGGCTTAGCCTTGTGTGGATGATGAATACGTACCTTGTGTTTTAAGGAACTCAGATCAAATCTAAGTCTTATACATACCTGAAAGCCTAGCACTTGGAAGGCAAGGTGAGCCTGATCGGTGTACTTGTGTGTACATGTGTGTATGTGCATGTGGGGTGTGTGTGAGTGTGTGTGTGTGTGATTGATAGGGGTAGGGAATCAATAAATGGCCCATAAAGAGAAAAGGATTTTTTTTTTTGAAAAAGTGCTTAAAAGTCTTTTTAGGAGAACTCTGAAGAGAAGAAGGAGATGGGTCCTGATCTGTGATGTTGGGGAATGACTGTCTACTCCATGGTGCTGTCTGCCTCTGGGGCCCAGGAGCTGGCACCAGTAGTCTATGGTTACCTGTAGGACTGATGCTCCAATTGTCCTGATCTCACTTTTATGGAAGAGCAGTTTAGACAAAATCAATTCTAAGCATTTTAAAGTGAACTTTGCAGGGTCCCGAGGTATGCTATGTCCTATGTTACAGTAGGTTTTCACAGCCATTGATATTTGGATTTAGAATCTCCATGGGTTTCATTCAATAAGAGCTTTCTGAAATATGGAAGCCGAATAGGATACTCTGTTTGCTTTGTTCTATATTAAGTAATTATCGACTTAATGTACATGACTGGAGGCTTGGACAAAGGCTACAGAATCTGAACCGTAGTTTAGAACTGATGAAGATACTAAGGGAAATTCACAGTATACTTGAGGTATTCAACCCAGGTTAATTTTCTCCCTTTAAATACAAATCAAAGAGAAATGGCAAGTCGGGGAATAAAGGAATCTTAAAGAAAAATGAGTAGAAGATGATCATTGTAAACCAGGGCACACCAACATGAGGGATAAAATGAATTTATGACATTTGAATATTTTTCTAATTGATGTATTTGAAGTGTGAGTCCATTTAAAAGATTGTGGTTAAAGGTAAAGAAAGAAAATAAGAAATCCTGTTGAAAAGGGAAATTTCCTCTGTCTTGTGAGAAGTGTTGTTGGGTTTCTAAAGGGAAAGCTTTGTTCCTTTCCCAGGCTGCACCCATGGGTCTGTGGTCAGCGACAGTCCTACCTCATGCGTGTGAATCCACACTGGATGTCTTTTTCTTCAGGTTTCTTTTTCAATCAGTCAGGTTTCTATAAAGAAAAGAATGTGGGAGGTTGAGGGTATGGAAATAGAATACGTTCTTTGAGGCATCTGGGTTGTGGATTCATGATGGACACTGAAACAGACTGTTGAAGGTAAGGAGTTTATTAATGTCGTGGGCAGACAGCAACATGGTAGAGCTCTGAGAGGAAGTTAGGTTCCAGCGAGAGAGAGAGAGAGAGAGAGAGAGAGAGAGAGAGAGAGAGAACAGCTGAAGGCTCTGAAGAGAGGATGCAGAGTTGTGGCAGAAGCAGGGGCCCCATTTTATAGTTCTCTGAGAACTGAGATGGTTGCACAGCACAAGCCTGCAGCCAGGCTCTGAATTCCTGGCAGGAGGCAGGGAAGGGCATGGAGACCGGGATGTGTGGGCTCTAATACCCACTTTGATATAAACTCATTTCCTCATGTGGGAAATCCTGATATGTCTGGGACCAGCCTCAACCAAATTACTTCTTCCCAGGGTAAGGGCATGGATTTAGAAAATATTAGTAAAGACTATGAAGATGCAAAAGAAAATAATAATAAAACAGAGAAACATATAGGATAGTATGGGGAAAGAATTTCAGTGATTACTGAAATTCGCCAGCATTTAATTTCCAACAGCTTAAAATACTCCTGGCCTCAAAAGGTAGGAGTAAGACAAAAGACTACATTAACATGATAAAGGAAATGAACCTACCAATTGAAGGTCACAGGGTACAGCCTGTAGTTAAAAATTCTGTTGTTAGGACAAAACAAACCACACTCCTGTCCTAGACCAAAACATTCTGTAGGCGAACAACTCCCTGGGTAAAATCCAGTGTTATCTCCATAAAAGAACTGGACCCTAGTTGGACCCTTAGACTCTTGTTTGAGGTGGAAACAATCTAGTTCTCTTTTCCTGGAGTACAAAGTCTGGCTATTAGAACACCGGTTGACCATAACCTTAAGAGAGCAGAACTCTCTGAGCTCCCTCTAATGGGACCTTTGTTTGAGGTAGAAGCACACTAACCTTGAAGGAGCTAGAGGTAAGTTCCAACTCTCTGACCTTTGGTCAACCTGGAAATAGGCTCACATTTTGGTCCTCCATACTGCAGAAATGTATAGACCGTGTCTCAGTGGTATCTATGAGGATGGGAGGGTGCTGCAGGTACCGTAGCCTGAGCAGCAACTGAATTTAATTAAAACTACTTCATTTTTTGAGGCAGTGTCCTGACCTGGAGACCAGGACGATCAGCTAGCTGATCTTGAATTTGCAAAGACCCACCTGCCTCTGCTCTCCAAGTACTTGGATTAAAGGCCCTAACATTACATTTTTCTGATATTAAAATGATGGCGCTACACTTCCATAACAAATTTCTGAAGTTTATCTGAAGGACTTGCTGGTGAGAACCCAGAAACGAAAAGGCTATGGTAGGACCTTCTGACCCAGGGATCGTCTTACCATGGGCAGCTGGCTTTTAATTTCCCTAAGCCTCATAGTACTTGTACTCTCTGTCCAAAGATGTCAGATACGAGGTCAGTAAGAGGTAAAGGTTCTTGCTGCCAAGCATGACAACCTAAATTTAATCTCTGAGACCCACATGCTGTAGGAGAGAACTGACTCCCAAAAACTGTCTTCTGACCTTCATATTCCAGCCATGCATGATACTCATATACACACAGATACTCATATACATGAAATATATTAAAATGTGAGGGTCCCACACTTTAGAGTCATCAACATCTGGTCCTGCGCTTTTTTTGATTGGGAGATTTTTGATGACTGTTTCTATTTCTTCAACAGTTATAGGTCTGTTTAATTTGCTTGTCTGGTCTTGATTTAATTTTGGTAAGTGATATTTATCTAGAAAGTTGTCCATTTCCTTCAATTTTACCAATTTTGTGAAGTCCAGGTTTTCGAAATATGACCTGATGATTCTCTGTATTTTCTCCATGTCTGTTGTTATGTCCCCCTTTTCATTTCTGATTTTGTTAATTTGGATATTCTCTTTCTGCCTTTGGTTAGTTTGGATAAAGGTTTGTCTATTTTGTTGATTTTCTCGAAGAACCAGCTCTTTGTCTCATTGATTCTTTGTATTGTTTTCTTTGTTTCTATTTTGTTGATTTCAACTTTCAATTTGATTATTTCCTGCCTTCTAGTACTGTTGGGTGAGTTCGCTTCTTTTTGTTCTAAAGTTTTCAAATGTTCTGTTAATTCACTAGTATGGGATTTTTTTCTACCTTCTTTATGTAGGCATTTACTGCTATGAACTTTCCTCTTAACACTGCTTTCAATGTGTACCATAAATTTGGGTATGTTTTGTGGTCATTTTCATTGAATTTTAGTAAGACTTTAATTTCTCCCTTTATTTCTTCCTTAACCCATTGATGATTCAGGAGAGCATTGTTTAATTTCCATGTGTTTGTGGACTTTCTGGAATTAGTATTGCTGTTGACTTAGAGTTTTTAACCATGGTGATCTGATAAGATACATAGTGTTATTCCAATTTTTTGTATTTGTTGAGGTTTGTTTTGTTACTGAGTATGTGGTCAATTTTTGAGAAGGTTCCATGAGGTGCTGAGAAGAAGGTATATTCTTTTATGTTTGGATGGAATATTCTATAGATGTCTCTCTTTTTTATAGATGTCTTTTAAGTCCATTTGAGTTATCATATCTGTTAGTTCTCTTATTTCTCTGTTCATTTTTTTTTGCCTGACAGACCTGTCCAGTGTTGAGATTGGAGTGTTGAAGTCTCCCACTATTAGTGTGTGGGATTCAATGTATGATTTAAGCTTTAGAAGTGTTTCTTTTACATATAAGGGTGCCCTTGTATTTGGGGCATAGATGTTCAGTATTGAGATTTCCTCTTGATGGATTTTTCCTCTGAATAATATGAAATGTCCTTATTTGTCCCTTTTGATTGAATTAAGCTTGAAGTCTATTTTGTTAGATATTAGGATAGCTGCACCTACTTACTTCTTAGGTCCATTTGATTGAAATATTATTCCCTACCCTTTACTTGAGACGATGTCTGTCTTTGTGGTTGAGGTGTATTTCTTGTATGCAGAAGAAGAATGGGTTCTATTTTTGTATCTGATCTGTTAGTCTGTGCCTTTTTATAGCTGAGTTGAGTCCATTTATATTAAGAGATATTAGTAAAAAATATGAAATACTTCCCAAATTTGCATGCTATCCTTGCACAGGGACCATGCTAATCTTCTCTGTATTGTTCCAATTTTAGTATATGGGTTGCCGAAGCAAGCACAGCCTTAATCTCTTAACAACCCTCCTGCCCCATTGCTCTCCAGAGCTAGGATAGGGGTATACATGACCTACAAATCAATTATTATGATGATTTTATGTTTTTTGAGATTTATATGTACTTTATGATTTGGGGTGTTTTTCCTGAATGTGTATCTATGTACCAATGCTCACAGTGCCAGAAGAGGGTGTCAGATCACCTGGTCCCATGTCCAGGGACCTAGATCCCCTAAAAGAGCAACCCATGCCCTTAATTCCTGAATAAGCCCTAGGGAGTAGGTAGGACTCCACCTACTGCTGTTGTGCTACTAAATGGTAGTCCTGCCAAATGACCTTCTAAATATTTATATTGATTCCCACAGATTGCAGCTACTCTTAACCTTGGTCAGAGAAGCTTCTTTTTACAGCAAAGTAGAGCCTAACTGGTCAAAACGCTGCACACAAGTGTCTATTGAACATTCACTCCTAATGGGACCTCTGCATCACTCCCTCTGATGCTTAGTAAACACCATGGCAAAAGAATGTTAGGGCTGGAAAATGGACAGCTCTGTGGAATGCCATCTTGTGGACAATACATGACCATTGCACTCAAGAATTCACAGCTCATGACCGTAGGTGGGGTATTTGTTGGGAAGGAGGGTACAGTGGGCATTGGAAGGGGATGAGACAGGGTAACTCTATACATGAAAATGATCAAAATGCATGTAAAAAGTGTGTAATTGTTAAAGAATAAATAAACTAAGTTTACTAAAAAAGAAATAGATGTTTGTGGGAAAATGGCCTAGAGGCCTACAAAATAAATGATGTTATTTAAAACAACAACATCAACACCTGGAGGTCAAGCCCCAGCAAATTCCTCCCCTACTCCACCCCCCCCCATCTCATTATGTAGCCCTGTCTGTCCTGGAACTCACTAACTCACTGGCCTCAATTCATAGCGATCTGCCTATGTCTGCCTCCCAAGTGCTGGCGTTAAAGGTTTGTGCCACCGTGTACCACTGCTGACAACCGTTTTCTAGAGCCACACTCTACGTCCTAAAAGTTCCAAACATTTCTAAACAGCACCACCAGCTGGGGCCCAAGAGTTCAAACACACGAGCCTATAGGGAATGGTATAGTTAGACCCCAATCCTGAAACAATGCAGTTCCAGGGATAAGCTCAGAAAATGTATAGAAATTTCCCCCTTTAGAGAGATCCATGCATCCCCCTAAAGACCTCCTTCTTATTTATCCTCTCTGGTTTTATGGATTATAGTGTGATTATGCTTTATTTAACAGATAAAATCCATTTATAGGTGAGCCCGAGGATATGGCCACCCATTGACTGATCTAACTTGAGGCGTAAGCCATGAGAGAGAGAGTTCATGTCTGACACTGCTTGGATGGCCAGGAACCAGAAGCTGGATAGCTCAGAGACCTAGGGTAGAATCAAACACAAATGACAAAGGAAAAGGTAAGTGAAATGATTCCCAATAATATTTTAGTATATTCATAGGTTGGTTCCTAGTCCAGTAGGCATCAGAGAGGCTTCCTACAGCAGCTAATGGAAATAGATGCAGAGACCCACAGTCAAACATCAAGGAACCTCAAAGAAGAAGAGGAAGGATTATGATTTTAGGAGCCAGGGAGGTCAAGGACACCAAGAAAACACAGCCCACAGAATGAACTCTGCAGGGCTTATAGGGGCTCACATACACTGACATGGCAATCATGGAGCCTGCGTGGATCTGCACGAGGTCCTCTGTGGTTGTTTAGCTTGGGTTGTTTCTGGGGCTCCTAACAGTGGGGGTGGGGGTGTCTCTAAATCTTTTGCCTGCTTGTGGGGTCTGCTTGTGGGGCTTATTCCCTTCTACTGGGCTACCTTGTCCAGCCTTGATGTGATTGTTTACACCTAGTCTTATTGTACCTTTTTATGATGATTGGTTGATATTATTGGAAGCCCAGGTTTGTCTATAGGGAACTGAAGGAAGAATGGAGCTGAGGGGAGGGGAGGTTATAGGGAACTGAGAGGAGGAAGGGAAAGTTGTGGGGGACTGGCAGGGGAGGCTTTGGTTGGGATGTATTGTATGAGAAAATAAAAAGACAAAAAAGGCACAGAAAGTCTCTGCTTTCCTGTGTACAGGAGTCCCTGGGACAGCTAAAGATTCAGAATTGTCTGAGCTGAGATTAATAAACTTGGACTGAGCCTGCTGATGTTCACCTCACAAGCTGCAAAGATGTAGACCAGGATACCCTAGGCAATGCATGAGTTTACCTCACAGCTGGTAACACGAGACATTCTTGAAACAGACTTCAATTACCACTTGCAATACCAACATTCAGGATGAGGAAGGATGATTTATGGCAGTAGAAGTTGTATCACCCACTTTACTCATTAATATAAAAAACAAAAAACAAAAACAAACAAACAAAACAAACACAAAATAACCTGAAAAAAAAAACTTAAGGCAAGAAGGATTTATTTTGGTTTCGATTTAAGAGGGTACAACCCATCCTGGGAGGAAAGGCTTGGTTGGATTCATGGCAGCTGGAGCTGTGGTTGGGATGACTCACATCTCCATACAAAAGCAGAGTGTGGGGATGCCGGCTTTCTCCTTTTCCACCCTGTTCTTCAGTCTGGGCCCCAGATCATGGGCTGGTGTCACCCACGTTCAGGGCAGCTCTCCCCTCCTCAGTTAATCTCTGGAAACAACTTCACAGACATTTCCAGAATGCAAGTCCTGGAAGATTCTAAATCCAGAAGAGCTGACACTGAAGCCCTCACAGCTTCATTTGAGTTCCAGGTCAGCCTGAGGTACTGTATGACACCCTGCCAAAGAGAGAGAAAAACAGTAATATCTGAGCTACCTGCTTTACAGTCCAAGTAAGTGGGGTCTGAGAGAGGCCTGGGAATTCTAGGAAAGGTTTCAGGTCACTGTTGTCAATCATCACAGTAGCACCCACAACAAACAAATGTCATCAGCCCTGAGTTGTCACGTTGATAGGTACATATTGTTTTCTCTCCATTGGGGTCTGGCCTCAGGTTTGAGAAATAGGAAGCAATTAACACAATGAAAGTCTCTGACTGATTGCTACTTATATATTATATGTTCCCTAGACTGATTTACAATTTATAGACAAAAATAATGGAATATGAATTCTTATCATTTACTTGTAAATTAATTCTATGTGTGAACTTAGTGGCTTAAAACCTTTTTATCTTAGAAAAACAAAAAGCTGCAAACTTGAGTCTTCATGTTGAGGGACAGAACACTAAAACCCATCAACACCAGGTCCTGCACAAGGTACAGGTACACACTGGTGAAGCCAAGGACTCAGGCTGTGCTCAGCTGCAGAGATGTTCAGCAGAGTGATGGGGGGGGGACTGGGTCTCTGCTTCCTTTTTAGGGAGAGTTCTAATGCCAGGAAATGAGGTCAAGGCATGGAAATAAACTAATAATGTTATCTAACTGCATTCTTTTCCATCTCTGGGAGGATAAGACAGAGAAGGGTACAGAACCAGGTAGTGCCAGAGGAAACTCTTAGTCCTAGACTTCAGATAACATTCCAGGGTATGGTAGCAGACAGACCTAGAACAGGGTCAGAAAACATATGAGAAGGATCAAGAATCCTCCCAGGGTCCCGTTTCATCCTCCTGGACACTCCCCCTCAAATTTGTGTCTTATCAACAGTATCCACAATTTGAAACCTTTGTCCTCTATATTCAGGTGTTCCTTACAGATTTGGTTTACAAAAAAGTCACCCTGAATAAAATGACTTAAAGACATGTAAGGAAATGCTCAGCATCCTTAGTCATCAGAGATATGCAAATTAATACAACTCTGAGATTCCATCTTATACCTGTAAGAATGGCAAAATCAAAAACACTGATGACAACTTATGCTGAAGAGGTTGTGGGGTAAAGGGAACACTCCTGCATTGCTGGTGGGAGTGCAAACTGGTATAGTCCCTTTGGATGTCAGTGTAGCGATTTCTCAAAAAATTGGAAAACTATCTTCCTCAATCCCAGCAATACCATAACTTTTGGGTATATATCCAAAGAATGCTCAATCATGCCATAAGGACATGTGCTCAATTATGTTCATAGCAGCATTGTTTTCAGATCATAACCAGAACCTGAAAACAATTAAATGCCCTTCAACTGAAGAATGGATAAGGGAAATGTGGTACATTTACACAATGGAGTACTACACAGCAGAAAAAAAATACTGACATCTTGAATTTTTTTGGCAAATAGATGGATCTAGAAAACATATTGAGTGAGGTAACCCAGACCCAGAAAGACAATTATCATATGTACTCACTCATAAGCTGCTTTTAGAAATAAAGCAAAAAAAACCAGCCTATAATTCACAATCCCAGAGAATCTAGACAACAATGAGGACCCTAAGAGAGATATGCATGTCTCTAATCTAAATGGGAAGTAGAAAAAGACAAGATCTACTGAGTAAATTGGGATCATGGGAACCATGGGAGAGGGTTAAAGAGGATGGGAGAGGCAAGGAAAGGAGCAGAAAAAAATGTAGAGCTCAATAAATATTAATTAATTAATTAAAAAGAAAAGAGTTTTTGGAAGAAAACAAAACAAAACAAAACAAAAAAGGTCCCAAAGTGGCTAAGCACACAGAAATGGACATACTTTATAGTAACAAAACAGGAGACAGATACATCTACATCCAGGCCTTGAAATTTCTCAGTAAGGCCCAGATCTCAGACACTGCCCTTGTCCTACCTGTACTCTTCCTCATCACAATGGCAGCCACAGCTCCTGCGACCAACACTCCAAGGAGAATCAGCCCAGCAATGATTCCCATGATGGGGGTGGTGGGAGATGGAGGAGGCTCTGGGAGAGAGAGTAGGAGAGGATAGAGGTGAGGGACCCTGGCCCTGCTCAGGGTCTACAGAGGGGCACCTGCTTTCCCTAAGACAGACTCTGGGCCTACACACACCCCTTTACCCCATTTCAGGATGAGGGGCTCAGGCAGCCCCTCATGCAGCACATGGCATGTGTATCTCTGCTCTTCTCCTGCAGGCACCACCACAGCTGCCCACTTCTGGAAAGTTCCATCCCCTGCAGGTCTGGTCTCAATAAGATCCATGTCCTGGGTCAGGTCCTCCTCATCCCTCTGCCAGGTCAGCATGATGTCTGCAGGATAGAAGCTCAGGGCCCAGCACTTCAGGGTGGTACCTCCTTCAGGTCTGGGGTGATGAGTCACATTTGTCTTTGGAGGATCTGAGAAGAGTCAGAGAAGAACAAACATCTGATCCTTCCTGAGGACAACTTGACCACTGATCATGTGATCATCCCCAGAGTTGGGCTGGAGATCTAGAGAGCAGCACTTAAAGTATATGGACCCAGGATGCAGAACTCTCTATTCCTTGGAAAGTTCTAGAATAAAGGGCTGAACCTGTACACCTCCAAGTGGAGTAAAACCCAGTGACTGAGTAGCTATAGCTGGTCTGTGAACACTGGCAGAAACAGGGACTAAGATCAAAAGGGAACTGCCACTAACCCTTTTCAGAGTTGTTACCTCTCCATCCCTGAATAGATGGGATCTCTATTATGGTTTGAATATAAAATATTCCCCCATGGCTCATGTATATGAAGCCTTGGCTTGTATCTGGTGATACTGAGATTCCAGTAAATATTTAGGATGTAGGATCTAACCAGAGGGAGTAGGTCACTAGGAGGTGGGCCTTGAGAGTTACATATAGTCTGTCTCTGGCTATTCTCTGCTCCCTGATGTTCCCAGATGTGAGCAACGTTTCTAGGCTGTGGCCCTAATTGGCTCCCATCACCACGTGCCCATTATGAACTATTAGTCAAAGGTTGGAGATCCACAATACTTGAGTTCTTCCTCCCTTAAGTTGTTTTTTCTCAGGTATTTTGTCACAGGAATGAAAGAAGCAAGTCATACATCCTTGAAAGAAGTGAATTCTGTGGAATGTGGAAATCAGGGAGGGATTCTCTGCTCCAAATCAGTGACGGAAGAAGTAGTTAGTAACTTTCTAGAGTAGAAAGAGCAAGTGTCTGTTCATCTTAGATATGGTGCCAATGACAAATGTCTTGGTACTGGTCTAGGGCTGTGAATACACACCACGACCAAGGCAATTGATAAAGGAAAGGAACAAGCTAATTGGATGGCCTGGGCTTTGAAACCTCACAACTCACTCCCAGTGACACACCTCCTAATCTGTCCTACACAGTCTGCACTTAAAACCAAACATTAAAATTGTGGTGTGTGTGTGTGTGTGTTTGTGTGTGTGTGTGCACGTGTGTAAACCTGCACATGTACAGCTCACATCTGAAGGTAGAAGACAGCTTGTGGGAGTCATTCTCTTGCTGTCCTAATGATCCTTTCATCCTGCCTCAGATTGTGCAGCCTTTGTCTCATGGTGCGGGAGAATTTTCTGTATTCTGTCATTCATATTTTAATAAAACGCTGATTGGCCAGGCAGGCAGGATAGGCGGGAAAGCCAGACAGGAAGTAGAGGTGGAGCAAAGAGACTGGGAGCATTCTGGGAAGCAGGAAGCTCCCTCCGCAGTTCCGCCCAGACCACCAGAGAAGAAAGATGTAAGCTGCCCAGCTGAGAAAGGTACTGAGCCGTGTGGCTAACATAGATAAGGATAATGGGGTAACATAAGTTATAAGAACTAATAAGTAGCCTGACCTAATGGGCCAATCAATTTATAACCTAATGTAGACTTTGTGTGATTTTTCTTGGGAGTTGCCGGCTGTGGGGTACTGGGTGGGACAGAACCCCAACAAGCCGGCCCTCATGCTATAGTCTCACAGAGGGGTGCATAGTTACAGTGCTCAATTTATCTACTCAATTTCTCTGTTTTCATAGCTCAGATCCTATCTACATGTTTGTCACACTGTATCAGGAACCCTGTGTAGGGGCTCATTAAATTTTAAAAGTATTTTTTTTTTTGTCTGTTTCAAGAGGTTCAGAGGCAAATATTCCAGTTTATCAAGGTTTCCCATACTGAATCTCTGCTAAGGCCCTGTATGTATGCTGAATCGTAGTCTTTTCCCTGAGTTAAAGGTGGGCCTAAGGGGTATTCTATTACTTTTACTCCACTTTCTCTCTCTTTACTGTCTTATTCTTACCATCATTTCCAGGTTTTTGGATTGCAGAAGCAGACATCTAATTCCTGCTCTTTCCTTTATGCCTGCTTCACATTCCCCAGCTATAAGAAATGGTGAGCCAGTTTATCACAAAGACAGCATTTGCCTGTCTTTTCCTCATTGTCCTTCCTCCCTTAGGCAGGCAAGTCCTTTCTGGGTAGGTGACTCAGCTCAGTTGCCAGTCTCTCTGCCCACAGCAAAGACCACACAGCTGCTGCCACTGTCTGCTGAGGATCCTGCCCAGTGCCCCACAGGTGTTATTCCTGGAATTGCTGTTGTTGGTGCTCATGTGATAGACCTCATGCCATGCAGAGGAAGACAACTACCCTGGGGTTCCCAGCACTGCTATCCATCCACCTCAGATGGAGCATTCTCAGAGGCCAGTCTTATCATCCATGCCAAGGGCAGTGCAGCTCTCAGCTGCCATTCCACTCCACAGGGAGAAAGCAGGCCACATCAGCACTTTCCCTGCATGGATGGTTTAGCTTCATTTGCATGTTTTATATCCCATAGCAGGAACCATGAAATGGATCCTCCCAAACTCATCTTTGGTCCTGCTGAGTTCCCACTCAGGTGTCAAGTGTTTTATTACCTTATCTGGAGAGATATGAACACACATCTATTCACCCTAGATAAGACACCAGCAACTGACCAAAGGAGGGAATCCATCCAAGTCTATCTTTACCATCCAACACTAGTTTGGCAATCCCATAATTTTTTTGGCAGTTACTTACAGGCACATGGGTAAGGAGTTACTTAATACTCAAAAACACCTTCATCACATTAAAGTTCACTCCAACATGAATGACAGCTCACAAAACCTGCCTCACAGGATCCTGCCACCAGTTTATCCCATGAGTTAACTTCTCCCCTCCCCCATCCCGACTGTCCTGAAGTTGGCTGTGTAGAGGAGGCTGGCCTTGAACTCACTCATCCTCCTACTCCTCAAATGCTGGGAGTAAAGGCATCAGCCCCTGCACCCCGCCCATCAATTAACCTTCTAACTCCTGTACACACTAGTAACTCTGTACCAGGTGCAGCTGGTAGGATTCAGGATCCCTTGTGTTTGGGGAACAACATGGGAGGGGGGCGGATATGGCTAGAATCCCCAGTGAGGGTAATCACAACCTCACTGATTTTGAAACATTAATAACCTGTGTTGCACCTGGGAGATAGACAGTATTTCACAATAGGTGGCTTAGGACTTGGTCCCGTTTTGCTTTCTCCCCATAAACTCAAGAGCAGACAGAAACTACCCTACCCCTCTTACCTACACGCTGCAGAATCTCCTTCCCTTTATCCAGGTATTTGACAAGCCAAGCCACACACCTTCCCTCCAAGAAAGATCTCCACGACCTTGCAAACCCAGCTGCCTCCCACTTGCGCCTGGTGCTCTGAGCCTCCTCGGTATCCGCTGCGATCCAGGAGCGCAGGTCCTCGGTCAGAGAGATGTAAGAGAGGCCATCATAAGCCATCCGCTTATACCCACGGAGGAGGCGGTGATCTGGCCCGGTGTCACAGCCGCACAGCCACTGGATAGTGTGAGACCCTGTTGCAGCCAGGGAGGTCAGTATGAGCTCCTAAGTTAGCCCCACTCAATACACATAGCCTAAGAGTGATGGGTCAAAGCCTATTTCAAACTAAAATGAAACACCAAATACATTTTCTCAACCTTTTCCAGGATGATGGAACTTGGCTGATTTCACTAACCCAAATATATTTCCATGGCCCTAGTAATATGTGGAGACTGTAGGCTAATCTTCTGAGTCTAGGGTCACTCACCTTTCTCCCTCTGGCTACGGTAGCGGAACAGGGTCCAAAGTTCGATTTGGCCAATTAATAAGACGCGCCTGCCGAAAAGCTCCAGCTCCTCTAAATGCTCTGGATCTTGCGCCATAAATGGCACCCGCGGCTCCACCCGCTGGCTCACCTCGCTGTCAAAGCTAAAGATCTGCGTGTTGTCCACGTAGCCCATGACCATGAACCGAAGACGTTTGTCGTAGCCAGGATTGTAGACGACGGTGATGAAATACCTCATGGCGTGTGAGCCTTGGAGCGCTGCGCGCTGACCGTGCGCCGGGTCAGACAGGGGAACTTTTGCACCTGCTGGGAAGGGTGCAGGGTGCAGGGCTCCGGAAGAGGATTGGAGAAGGGAGCTTGGCAGAGGCTGCCCATCTCCGGGAGAGGGGAGGTCTAGTTAGGAGAGGGCGGAGACGTGGTTTTCAGTGCTGCTGTACCTGCCAGGTGCCCTCGCTCCTCCCCGCAGAGATGATTTCTCTCTCCATCCCGCACTCACCCACGGAGGCCTGAATTGGGGCAAGGATGGCCGCAAGCAACAGAAGGAGGATGCAGGGCACCGTTGACCCCATCCTCTGTGTTTGGAGAACTTGATGAGATTAGGTCTTTGTTCCTCGCTGTGGAGTGTAATACCTTTGTGGGTGTGTGGGGACGGATAGCGATGAATCTGAGTGGTTCTCTGAAATTCCCATATATAGCAGAAAGGAACACGTGGGTGTTCAAACATTACTGGGGAATAAGGGGTTCCTATTTATGAGTTCTTAGTGTTTCTTGCTTTTAAAAAATAGGGCTAACAACAAAAATAATAGCAAAACCAGTCTCAGAAGGATGCTTAGTTTTGGCTGAGGTTGGGGTAAGGGTAGGGGCAACAACAGCACTGGAAAGCCAAAATCATAACAGCTGCTGTCCGGAGTAACAAAGGAAAGGGTAATGCCTTTGAGTTAGGGTCAAAACTGTAAGCAACTGTAGAAAAAGTGTGGAGGAAAAAAAAACCCAGACTGTCAAAGTAAGTGTACTGGAGATTTTGTTCTGGATCAAAAGAAGAGCTAGAAAGGGGGAAAGAAAAAAGAAAGAAGAAAGTTAACCTTTTTGAGTTAGAAATCAGGAAGACAGCCAGGCAGTGGTGGTACATGCCTTTAATCCCAGCAGTTGGCAGGCAGAGGCAGGAGGATCTCTGTGAGTTCGAGGCCAGCCTGGTCTACAAGAGCTAGTTCCAGGACATGCTCCAAAACTACAAAGAAACCCTGTCTCAAAAAGCCATAAAAGAAAAAGAGAAAAAGAAAAAAGAAAAGAAAATGAAGAAAAGAAAAAAGAAAAGAAAATGAAGAAAAGAAAAATCAGAAAAGTATTAGGCTTAGCAGTGAGTATCTGCAAGAACTGAATTGAGAGAGGGCCTCCAGGGATGTAGTAAGGAATTATCTCACTTGGGGCATTATTATTCTTCCCATTTCTGTGTTTGTTTTCTTTTTTATTTTTATTTATTTGTTTGTTTGTTTTTCAAGACAGGGTTATTCAGTAGCTATGGAGCCAGTCCTGGAATTCGCTCTGTAGACCAGATTGTCTTAGAACTCACAGAGATCCACCTGCCTCTGCCTCCTCAGTTCTGGGATTGAAGGTGTGTTGTACCACAACCCACCACTGCCAAACTTCTTTGTGTATTTTCAAATGACCAGCTTTCTAGAAGGGTTGTCTGCTGACCAGGTGATTGACAGGACTAGTTAGATTAACTCTTAAGAGAGCTGACATTGGTTGGAATATTCTGGTCTTGGGGACAGATCAGAATGTAGGAACAGATCAGTATGTGTGTGTAAGTGAATGTGTGTGTGTGTGTGTGTGTGTGTGTGTGTGTGTATAATCTCCACCCTTGGTCAGATGTGAAAATTAGATTCCATTCTATTGACCAAATAGAAGTTACCCCAAAGCCCTGATACCTTCACCTTTTCATATGGCAAATGGGGCTGTGGGAGTTGGGGTAGGAGGCAGAGGCGGAGGCAGAGGATGTCCACAAGTTCAAGGGCAGCCTGGTCTATAGAATGAGTTCTAGGACAGCTAGAGCTACACACTGAGACTCTGTTGTTTACTGTGGTCCAGGGAATTGGTAGTGTGCTTATTGTGCAAGCTTGAGATCCTGAGATCGACCCCCAGAGCCCATGCGGTATGGTTTGTAGTCCAGCACTGTGGAGAGTGTGACACTGTGGAGATAGTGGGTCCCTCAGGCTCATGGCCAGCCCACCTCGTCCAGTGGGTGAACTTCTGGCTATTTAGTGACTGCCTCAAAAAGAGGTGGATTTTTTTCTATAACAAAGAATTGGTGTGTTCCTTTCCCACCATTCTCCAAATCTAGTGTAAATGTGACTGATGGCTGTGGGACAGTTTCACACCTGATAATGATAAAATGAGAACTGTGTAAAAATACAAGGACATAAGGACTCAGATATGAACTAACATCAGTGTATCTCAAATCATCTTATAAAACAGAATGGGAAGCAGTACTATCAAAAGCATTTTTAAGACCACAATTATCCTGATATCAAAACTGGGTAAAGACACAGAACAAAATTATAGGTCAATTTCCATGATGAACTTGGATGTGGACATTTTCAATATGACACTTGCAAGCATAAGTCTACAACACATCAAGATATCGTATACCATGACCAAATTGATATCATTCCACGGATTTAAGAACAACTCGATATATTTGATCAATAACTATGATGTGGCACCTAAGTAGCTGCAAGGACAGAAATCATGGGGTCACCTCAACATATTCAGAAAGGGTCTTTGACAAAGTTCAACATCTTTTAGGATAAATTTAAACCCTGAAGAAACTAGGTATAAAAGGAATGTATTTCAACACAATAAATGCCATATATAAGAAAGTTTTAGTCAGCATTATACCAAATGGGGAAACAGCATTTCCTCTAAAATTAAGATGAGACAAGGATTGTCCATTTTCTCTACTGTTTAATATAGTTTTTGATGTCTTAAGAATGATAAAGCAAGAGAAAGAAAGGAAAGGGAAACCAGACATAAAACAAGAAGTTAAATGATCTTTATTTGTCAGTGATATGATCCTATGTTTGAAATCTAAAATAATGTCAACAGGGGCTGGAGAGATGGCTCAGTGGTTAAGAGCACTGGCTGCTCTTCCAGAGGTCCTGAGTTCAATTCCCAGCAACCACATGGTGGCTCACAACCCTCTGTAATGAGATCTGGCGCCCTCCTCTGGCGTGTGGGTATACATGGAGGCAGAATGTTATGTATACAACAGAATGTTGTATACATAATAAATAAACCTAAAAAAATCCATAGGTTTTAAAAACAAAATTAAATAATGTCAACAAAGTAACAGGATGTAAAGTCCCATACAAAAGCCAGCAGTTTTTCAATATACCAAAAACAAACATGGTGAGAAATACAAAAAAAAAAAAAAACCAGTCCCAGACATAATGGTTTCAGAAACAGAACAAAACAATTAGATACCTAGGAATATACACGAGGAGGTTAAAGACATCTACAATAAATAAGACACTAAATAATACACTAAATAAGACAGGGCATGATGGCTTATGTCTGTAATCCAATGCTCAGCAGACAGAAGAAAGGGGATTGCAGCAACTTTGGGGCTAGCCTGGTTTATATAGTAAGAACTTATCTCAAAAACTTAAACTAACCAAACAATCAAAAAGAAAGAAAGATAAGATACTAAAATATAAAGATCTACTATGCTCATGAATAGACAAAATTAATATTGCTAAAATAAACCTAGAAATTCAATGCAATTTCCAATGGCATTCTTTAAGAACTAAAAATAAAAAATTCTAAATTTATATGGATGCAGAAAAAAACTGCTAATAGCCAAAGTCATATTTAGCTGGAAGAGAAATACTAGAAGAGTTTAAATACTTTATCAAATTCTGTAACAGAGACATGGTTTTACAGAAGAAGAAGCAAAAAGGTGTGGTACAGGCACAGAAATAGACACAGACCAATGGAACAGAATAGAGGACTCAGATACAATCTATAGTTACAGTGTTAGGACAACGCACATTCCAGAAGCAAGTGCTTCCCCATCCCAAACCAGGCTTCTAGGACTCAGGGCCAGCATCCCTGTCATCACAATGGGACACATTTCCACTGAGCCAAGGTCCCTTATGTTTATGCTCCATACCCACTGTAAAGTCTGAGCCATCACCCTTCCCATTCTCTCTCCCCTCTCCCTCCCTCCTTCTCTCCCTCCCTCCCTCCCTCCACCTTCCACTCCCTCTCTCTCCTCCTTGCTTGTCTCTCACATCCCCACTCAGAGGCAGCCTCCCCTCCTCCCAATAAACCCCTTGTGTGAAGTCTGTGTGATTTTTATGGCATTCCTTGGCCCTCTGATACCACAAGACCCCTTATACACTGTTATTTTTCTTTCAACCACAATGCCTAAAGCAGTCATTGGGGAAAAAAACCATAAATCCATTCAGCAATTGGTGTTGGGAAAACTTTATATCCTCATGTAGAAGAACAAAATTACATCTCTATCTTTCACCCTGTGGAAAAATAATCTCAAAGACCTTAGATGTAACACAAAACTCTGAAATCTGCTAGAGGAAAACCCTTTTGATAGATGCACAGACTGTCTGTCAGGATGGTCTGAAAGGATTTATGACTCAAGAAACAATAACAAGAGCTGACAAATGGGTTGCATGAAATGAAAAACTTCTGCCCAGCAAAGGAAACACGTAGAGGGTGTAAAGACAGTCTAAGGAAAGGGAAAAAATATAAACCAACTAAATCTAAAACAGGATTAATGTTTATAATACATAAATAATTCAAAAACAGCAAAACCAAGAACCAGGTGTTGTGGTGCGTACCTGGAAGCCCACGAACTGGGAAGTAGACTCATGAGAATATAAGTCCAGCTTCATGGACTGTGTTGCAAAAACAAACAAAATCATTCTGGTTGAGAAACTGAATGAGTTCATTAGAAGTAAGCAAGACAACAGAGGAAGGAATTTGAAATGCATTTAGTAGTTCAGGCAAAGGACACAAGTTGCCTTTTCTCAAGGTATGAGCAAGAGAAAACAGTGCAAAGAAATTGAATTTTAGGTTCATTTAAAACATGGACATTACAATATTTCCCACTGGAATTAATCTGGATTACAGAATGAAGGAAGGTGATAACAAAACTTCAGGACTGCACAGGCAGCAGAGTAGATTTGCTATTTGCAGACAGGAAAATGCACACAAAGCAGCCAGACTGACAGGGACAGATGAGCCTGGAGATGTTTGTGCCTGGGCTGGAGAAACTTATTTGGGGGGTGGTCTTAAATGGTATTTCAAACCTTGGAGTTGAATAAAATCACCAAAGGAATGTTAGTAGTAGGTAAGAAACAGAACAGGACTGACCCTGTCCCCTCAGTACACAGTGATATCATTAGAGCACACGCCTAGACTAGACCATGCAGCTCTGGGCTTGTGTCTAGAAGGCCATAGACCAGAGATTCCCAGACTTCCCTGTGTACAGGACTCTCTGAACTTAGCAACAAGAAAAAGGTCAGGCTTGATGATGAAAGACCCCTGATTTGGGGAAACTCTCACTCGAGCCTCGGGAAGACGCGAACCCCCCCAGTAACTCACGAGAGACCGTCCTTGCTGCAATCACACGAGGTTTAATGACAAGACGACAAGACGGGGACCAGTGCACTGGGGCCGAGACTCATAACCCACGCAGGGGAAGAGTTCGACCTCGAGTGACCGGGAGAAGTAGTTTTTATAGGAAGAAACCACATAACCCAGTAATCCGAAAAGGGGGGCAGGGAGGATGTCCGAAAATTCCAGTGATGATTACAAAGGTGCAATTCCCTGCTTCTCAAGATCATTCTCAAAGGTCGTAATCAGCTAGTTCCTACTCCGGTGATAATTACTAGGGGGTGACAATTACTAGGGGGAATCTCTTTGTCTCTCAAGATTACTCTTAAGATTACAATCCACCTTTATCTTCAGCTAGTTCTTGGAACCCTGGAACTGGTTAATCTTAGATTTCTGATTCTTCTCTTCCTGCTAGATTTTTGGCTCTATTTTCCTGTTAGGGGGATCTGGATTTATCCAGGTCTTTCAATGACACAGGTTTTTAATCTCAGCACTCTGGGCAGAGATCAGTGCCTCCTCTCCTAGGACCTCTCTGAGTTCAAGGCCAGCCTGGTCTACAAGTATAGCAAGTTCCAGGCCAGCCGAGGCCACATATTGAGACTGTTTCAACAAACAAAAAATCAAAACAAAACCCCCAAACAAAAATAAAAGACTTTGGAAGTCTGGTGGAGAGCCACGAATCTCTGTATTTATAACAAGGTTTGTACAGAGGCAACTGTTATTCAGATCATGGAGCTGCAAGGATGTAGACAGGAGCTCCCAGGCTGGGCATCAGCCTCACTAGCAGGAGGTTACATAGAATTTCCTGCTGCCAGGTATTGTGGCTCATATATGTAATTCTAACACTGCAAGAAGGGAAAAGAGGATTAATTACAGTTATTTCAAAGCCCATATGGATTTTTATTTATTACTTTTTTAAATTGTGTGACCAACTACTCAGCAAAACCAACTTAAAGGATGAAAGGTTTCTTCTGATTCATGGTTAAAGAGGGCACAATTACTCTCAGCATGGGGCATGATGCAGTACACAGCAGTAGGAACATGTGGCTGAGATTCTGCACACTTCAGTAGATCAGGAAGTAGAGTGTAGGGATCCTCTCATCTGACTTTCTCCTCTTCTTCCTTTTTCCTTGGGCCCCAGAGTGTGTCTTCAAACCTCAATTAATCTCTGGAAACACTGGTACAGATGGGACCAGAATTGGATCTCCTAGGAGATTCTAAATCCAGCCAAACTGACACTCAAGATTAGCCATCACAGCTACTTAGTGAGTTCCAAGCCAGCATGGGATACAGTGTGAGATGCTGTTAACAGAGAAACAGAAAAAGGAAGAGTGAGTCCTGGGCTACATTCTGAGCAATGTAAATGAGGGATCTGGAAAGAGTCTGAGTATTTTGGAACAAGATTTATCGCCACTGATGTTAGTGATGAGAACGGCATCCATGATGGAAAAGGGTTTTATGTGGGCATTTCATTTGGGGGAGGGGTTGAGAGAGACAAGGGAGAATATACATTATCAGTCCTGAGTTGTCATGTTGACAGATACATATTGTTTTCTCTCCCATGAGCTGTACGCAGCCTCAGAGAGGAAATACAGGAATCAATTATATAGAGACTCTGACTGGCTACTATCTAAAAATTTCCTAGACTGACTTCTTACTTTTAGATATAAAGAATAGAATCCAAACTCTTATGCTTTAAAAACAAAGGAATTTAATATGTGATGTTGGAGGATTGGTGATTATTTTATTTTGGGAAAAGCCAATGAACCAAATCCAAGGCTTCACAGCTGGGAGCAGAACTGACAAGTCCATCAACATCAGGTCCCACAGGGATCCACTGAGCACAGGAATCACTGAGGCCCTGGAGCTAGTCTCTGTGGACAGCTTTCCTGCTACTCTGGGAACTGGATGTGCAGTGTTACCCCAGCCCAGTTCATTCCTGCAGTTCCAGCTTTTCCTTCTCACCATGTGCTCACTCAGCTGGGGGCTGAGGAGGACTCTGTGGTGTCCAGCTGCAGGAATGCTTGGGAAAGGGGGAGTGACTGAGGGACTTGCTCTGCTTCCTTTCTGTGCCCTTACTAGGTGTTCCCTTGATGTGTAAAGAAACTTCAAGAGCTGGGAGAAGATGGTAAAAAGTAGAAAAACAATGATGAAAGTAGATTCCTGGAAAAGTTATCTGAGTGACTACATCAGGGAAATAAAACTACTGATAGATCCAGGATAATGACGATCTAGCTTACTCATAGCCCTGGACTTTAAAAAGTGGTAACACAACTGGGCATGGTGGCACACAACTTTAATCCTAGCACCTGGGAAACAGGGACAGGTGGATCTCTGAGTTTGAGGCCAGCCTGGCCTATATAGTAGGTTCCAGGACAGCCAGGGCTATGTAAAGATACCTTGTCTTCAAAACAAGCAAGCAAGCGAGCAAACAAACAGAAAACAAAATCTGCCAGTACACTGAGTCCCTGGTCAGGTAAGCAGTCACACATGGTGTGTCTCACACTAACAAAGCAGGAGATGAGCACATTTCTACCCATGGCTTCATCTCTACAGAAAACCCTCAGACACCAATCCCCTCCCTACCTGTGCTTTTCTTCCTCAGCATCACAATGGCAGCCACAGCTCCAGTGACCACAACTCCAAGGAGAACCACACCAACTATCACTCCAGTTGTGGGCCAAAGAGATGGCTCTGGGAAGAGAGGGTAGAGCTGAGGGACCCTAACCACAGCTCAGCAGTGATTCTACTTAGGGTCTCCAGAAGGTCACCTGCTTTCCTTGACATCAGGTTTTGTGCTCACACCCCTCCTTACCCCATCTCAGGGTCAGAGACTCAGGCAGCCCCTCATGATACACATGACATGTGTATCTCTGCTCCTCCCCGGAAGGCACCACCACAGCTGCCCACTTCTGGAAGGTTCCATCTCCTGCAGGCCTGGTGTCCACCAGCTCCATGTTCTGGGTCTGGTCTTCCCCATCCCTTTGCCAGGTCAGGGTTATTTCAGCTGGGTAGAATCCTAGGGCCCAGCACCTCAAGGTGACATCTCCTTCAGGTCTAGGGTGATGGGTTATATGTGCCCTTGGAGGATCTGTGGAGATGAGTTGGAAACTTCAAACTTTAAAAATTTTTCTGGGAAGGTAAGCTGTATACATGTGCCTATCCTAACAAAGCACAAGAGAATCAAGATGGGTGGGTGTCACATGGTATATACCCCACAAGTTGCCTACACTTAGGCACTAGTATAATCCATTTCTTAGAAAAGAAAGATTCCTAAGTTTCCTACCATGAAAAGCAGATTTCTGGTCCTGACATAGGTGGAGGAATAAGGGACTTTTTGAGTCAGACTTCCAAAGACACTGGGTGTGGGCAGAGAACTCAGCCTCTGGGAGACCGTTTCACAAAGGGCTGTTGTTGGTTATTTCAGGGATCTTCTTTCCTCTCATCCAAGAGACTCTAATCTCTCCTGAGAGAAGGGCAAGTCCTGGGATAGTCATTCTCTGCTGTTGGATCAGGAAAACCAGGAGCACTCCTCCCCCTCTGGATACAAGAGAGAGCTACATTGTTTCAGCTTGTCCCATTTTCCTTCCTCCTCGGAGATGGGCACCCTATGAGTGCAGATGGAGGAATTGCTTCTCAGCCCCTCTTACCTGAGCGCTCCAGAATCTTCTTCCCTAGCTCCAAGTGCAAGAGTAGAGTATCAATGCATCGGCCCTCGAAGTAGATCTTCCAGGACTCTGCTACATTTTTTGCCTCCCACTGTCGCTGGGTGATCTGAGCTGTCGTGTCAGCCACAGTCCAAGTTCTCATGTCCTCGTTCAGGCTGATGTAATCACGGCCATCAAAGGCGTGATCATAGTGCCCACGGAGGAAGAGTCGGTCTGGACCCACGTCGCAACCAACGAAACACTGGAAGGTATGAGGGCCTGCAGCCGCCCCCAAAGTCAGCTCTGTCCACAGGACCCTGCCCACCCACAGAATTTCCACCTGAACTCAACCGGAAACCGGGTCTCAGTCGGATGCTCTCCCCAGTCCAGAGTCTCTGTGACCCAGCAGCCTCGGATGGAACCTAGGACCTGAGACCTGGGGCGACTGGGGCCAGTCCGTGGGGACATACAGGGGTCACTCACCGTCATTGCTCTGATTATAGATTCGGATTGCAAATAGCAGGTTTTCTCGGGCCGTGTGTGCATAATCCTCCATACTCTCTCTCGTTAGCTTCCAAAAATCAGGCTCCATCTGCTTCGCCCATGGCACGAGCGCCTCCATTTTAGTAACAACGTCACTGCTGAAGCGCAGGATTTGCGTGTCGTCCACATAGCTAACGACGGAGACTTGGAGATCTCGGAGACCCGTTCGAGACGTGGTTGTGGTTACCAAATATCTTACGGAGTGTGAACCTGGGGGCAGTGTGCAGTGAGACCCTGACCCTCCTCCGGGAACCCATGGCAGGTGTGTGGGTCGGGAGGGGATCAGGACTGGACATAGGTGCAGAAAGGGCGAGAGGGTCTGGGTAGGTGATGAGAGAGAGTTTTTGGGATGCTGCCCAGTCTGGGTGCCCTCACTCTTCCAGGCAGAAGCCCTTTCCTTCCTTACCCACACTCACCAGCGCCTCTCTGGATCTTGGTTTGGGTCAGACCCAGGAGTACTGAGAGCAGCAGGAGGGTGGGACACGGAGCTGCAGACCCCATGCTTGGTGGCTAGAAAACCTGGAGAGATTGAGACTTTGTTCCTCTCTGTGGAGTTTATAGCGTAGTGCATTGTGGGGGAGATACCACAGTGGCTTTGAGTTCCTTTCTTCAGAATTCTGACCTGCACTGGGAGTGAGAACATGTCTCCAGATCGAAGGACAGGACAGCTGACAGGGGCTGAAGACTATAGAAGGGAATTATGGGACAAGGAGGGAATTTCCAACCTATGACTTCCCCACCACAAGCACCTTGAAGGTAAAACCTCAGACCAGGGACTTATGGAGACCTCTTCCTCCAGTAATTGGTGCTCTTTGTCACATCTGCTCTCTCTGAGTCCTGATTAGGAGGATTGTAGAGATTCTGAATGTTTTGGTTTCACGGTCTCTTATTTGTGCTTGTACATTGTTAAGTACCTCCAAGTTTTGTGTAGGCTAAATCCAATAACATTTACTGTGTTAAAAGCTGCTCATGGCGCTTTGAAATGTTAAGACAGGTCAGTGAACCCCTACACACCTGAGCAGACACCACTCTGCCTAATATTTCAAAACAACAGGTGCAAAACCTCACCAATACCCTGAAGTTGTTTCATAAATCTTGCATGATGCCTGATAAAAAAATCTTGTGTGTGCCCCATTTTGAAGATATTGACTAGTCTATATATACATTTCTTGTTCCAGCCAGCTCTGTTGTCCACCTAGGGAATATTTTGTGATGTACTCTTAGAAAGGCCGGGGAATAGCCAAAGATGTGGAATGGATGCTTAAAAGAAATCCCACACTAGCTCAGAATTGAGAAATGGATGGTTGTTTATTTAGGGGTAAACTCACAGATCAGAATTCTCTGCTTGAACAGAGAACAGAGATTGAATCCAGCAATTCATCAATCCAAAAGAGCAGACTTGGGGAAGGGGGGGGGGAGAAGAAGGGGCAGATGTAGGCTCTACATCAACATATATGGTCTAAGAGGTCATGCCCCAGTAGGTTGGTAACCCTAAGCTGCAAAACTTCCTACAGCACAATGATGGAGCACTTCTGTTCTTTGTAATTAGATGTAAATGCAATAGTACTTGGCCATTAAAGAGGTTTCTGCTGTGTTCCTTTCCACCTAATGAAATAGTGTGGCAGTTACCTATTTGTTCAGTACAAATATTCTATATTGGCAACTGACTTCATAATGGCAGTGCTTGGGTTTCTCTGTAATGAATCCCTTTGCCAAATGCAGTTCATACTTGCTCACTATTGACAGGAATGAAGCAGGTAATGAGGGAAACTCCCAACTTGAGACTATGTCTTGCAGTTTAGTGAATAAATGCAGCAGGGTAGTGTTGGAAGCAGGAGGAATAGGCAGCTGTTTCCTGACCAACTGCATGCTATTCTGGGCAATAATGTTGGCATGGTCTGAGCCATCCAGGAGGAAGTTGGATGATTAGAAGTTTGAGATTCTTGGTTAAACCGAAGACTGATTTGGGCACCAGCTACCTTAAAAAAAGAATCTTACACCTTGAGGCACATACTTCCCTTAAAATAGGCTTCCCCACACACCCTCATTCTATTTGGGGTTAAGGTTTCAGAAGTGAACAAAGACAGATGTGAAGAGGTTAATTTAATAGCATACTATACTGGAAAACTGAACATCTGCAGCAGATGTAAATTCCATGTCTAGTTACTTTTTTATTTTTAATTTTTTTCTTTTTATTGCTTTTATTGAGCTCCACATATCTCTCTGCTCCCTTCCCTGACTCTCCCCTCCCCTTCAACCCTCTCCCAAGGTCCCCCTGCTCCCAATTTACTCAGAAGATCTTGTCTTTTTCTACTTCTCATGTAGATTAGATCTATGTATGTCTCTCTTAGGGCCCTCATTGTTGTCTAGGTTCTCTGGGATTGTGATTTGTTGGCTGGTTTTCTTTTCTTTATGTTTAAAAACCACTTATGAGCAAGTACATGTGATAATTGCCTTTCTGGGTCTGCGTTACTTCACTCATAATGATTCTAGCTCCATCAATTTGCCTGCAAAATTCAAGATGTCATTATTTTTTTCTGCTGTGTAGTACTCCATTGTGTAAATGTACCACATTTTTCTTATCCATTCTTCAGTCAAGGGGCATTTAGGTTGTTTCCAGGTTCTGGATATGACAAACAATGATGCTATGAACATAGCTGAGCACTTGTCCTTGTGACATGATTGAGCATCTTTTGGATATATACCCTAAAGTGATATTCCTGGGTCTTGAGGAAGGTTGTTTCCTAATTTTCTAAGAAATCGCCACACTGACATCCAAAGGGTTGTACCAGCTTGTATTCCCACCAGCAATGCAGAAGTGTTCCCTTTATCCCACAACCTCTCCAGCATAAGTTGTCATCAGTGTTTTTGATCTTGGCTGTTCTTACAGGTGTAAGATGGAATCTCAGAGTTGTTTTGATTTGCATTTCTCTGATGACTAAGGATGTTAAGCATTTCCTTAAATGTCTTTCAGCCATTTTAGATTTCTCTGTTGAGAGTTCTCTGTTTAGGTCTGTACTCCATTTTTTAATGGACTATTTGTTCTTTTGATGGACAATTTCTTGAGTTCTTTGTATATTTTTGAGATCAGACCTCTGTCTCATGTGGGGTTGGTGAAGATATTTTTCCATTCTGTAGGCTACTGTTTTGTCTTGTTGATCATGTCCTTTGCTTTACAGAAGCTTCTCAGTTTCAGAAAATCCCATTTATTAATTGTTGCTCTCAGTGTCTGTGGTACTGGTGTTATATTTAGGAAGTGGTCTCCTGTGCCAATGTGTTCAAGTGTACTTCCCACTTTCTCTTCTGTAAGGTTCAGTGTGGCTGGTTTTATGTTGAGGTCCTTGATCCATTTGGACTTGAGTTTTGTGCATGGTGACAGATATGGATCTATTTTCATTCTTCTACATGTTGATATGCAGTTATGCCAGCACCATTTGTTAAATATGCTTTCTTTTTTCCATTATATATTTTTTGATTCTTTGTCAAAAATCGGGTGTTTGAAGGTTTGTGGATTAATATCTGGGTCTTCAATTCAGTTCCATTGATCCTCCTGTCTGTTTTTATGTCAATGCCAGGCTGTTTTCAGCACTGTAGCTTTGTAGTAGAGTTTGAAGTCAGGGATTGTGATGCCTCCAGAAGTTCTTTTTTTTTTTTGTATAAGATTGTTTGGGCTATCCTGGGTTTTTTGCTTTTCCATATGAAGTTGAGTACTGTTCTTTTGAGATCTGTGAAGAATTTTGCTGGGATTTTAATGGGCATTGCATTGAATCTGTAGATTGCTTTGGTAAGATTGTTATATTTACTATGTTAATTCTACCTACCCAAGAGCATGGGAGATATTTCCACTTTCTGGTGTTTCTTCAATTTCTTTCTTCAGAGAATTAAAGTTCTTGTCATATATGTCTTCCATTTGTTTGGTTAGAGTTACTCTGAGATATTTTATGTCATTTGTGGCTACTGTGAAGGCTGTTGATTCTCTGATTTCTTCCCCAGCCCTTTTATCATCTGTGTACAGGAGGGCTACTGATTTTTTTTTAGTTAATTTTATATCTTGCTACATTACTGAAAGTGTTTATGAGTTGTAGAAGTTCCTTGGTAGGATTTTTGGGGTTGCTTATGTAAACTATCATCAGCAAATAGTTGAGTTTGACTTCTTTTTTTCCAATTTGTAGCCCCTTGATCTCTTTTTGTTGTCTTATTGCTCTAACTAGGACCTCAAGAACTATATTGAGTAGATATGGAAAGAGTGGACAACCTTGTCCTGATTTCAGTGGAATTGCTGGAATTTTCTCTTCATTTAGTTTGATGTTGGCTGTTGGTTTGCTGTATATTGCCTGTATTATGTTTAGCTATGTTCCTTGTATCCCTGCTCTCTTTGAGACCTTTATCATGAAGGGATGTTGTATTTTTTGAAAGCTTTTTCAGCATCTAATGAGATATTCATGTGGTTTGTATTGTTCAGTTTGTATTTTTCAGTTCAACGTAGTATAGTAGATTATTTTGACAGATTTTCATATGTTGAACCATCTCTGCATCTCTGGGATTAAGCCGACTTGATCATGGTGGATAATGGTTCTGATATATTCTTGAATTCGTTTTGCTAGCATTTTATTTAGTATTTTGCATCAATATTCATGAGTGAGATTGGTCTGTAATTCTCCTTCTTAGTAATGTCCTTCTGTGGTTTGGGTATCAGGGTAGTTGTAGCCTCATAAAAAGAGTTGACTATGTTCCTCTGTTTCTATTGTGTGAAATAATTTGAGGAGTATTGGTATTAGATCTTCTTTGAAAGTCTTGTAGAATTCCGAGCTGAAACCATCTGGTCCTGGGTTGTTTTGTGGGGGGGGCGGGGGAGTTTTTGATGACTGTTTCTATTTCTTCAGCAGTTATAGGTGTTTTTAATTTGCTTGTCTGGTCTTGATTTAATTTTTGTCAGTGATATTTATACAGAAAGTTGTCCATTTCCTTTAATTTTACCAATTTTGTGGAGTACGGGTTTTCGAAATATGACTTGATGATTCTCTGTATTTCCTCTGTGTCTGTTGTTATGTCCCATTTTTCATTACTGATTTTTTTATTTGGATATTCTCTCTCTGCCTTTTGGTTAGTTTGTATAACGGTTTGTCTATTTTGTTGATTTTCTTGAGGAAACAACTCTTTGTCTCATTGATTCTTTGTATTGTTTTCTTTGTTTCTATTTTGTTGATTTCAGCTCTCAATTTGATTATTTCCTGCCATATTATTCTCTTGGGCATGTTTGCTTCTTTTTGTTCTAAAGTTTTCAAATGTTATGTTAATTACTAGTGTGGGATTCCAGTTTCTTTATGTAGGCATTTAGTGCTATGAACTTTCCTCTTAACACTGCTTTCATTGTGTCCCATAAATTTGGGTATGTTGTGTGGTCATTTTAATTGAATTTTAGTAAGACTTTAATTTCTCCCTTTGTTTCTTCCTTGACCCATTGATGATTCAGGCGAGCATTGTTTAATTTTCATGTGTTT